CTTATGAGCTATTTGGAGGACAATCCAGCTTACCAATGCACCCAAAATCGAGCGTTTTGGACCGGAATTGAAAAAGTTATGAGTATTTTCAGAAATCAAAAGTTTCTCTAAACACTAATGAGCCAAATTTCAGTGCTTGTTACAGGTTGTGATTGGATGATTGTGGAGGTTTATTGTTAGTACACTTATCAATATGGACTGTAAAAATACGGAAAAATATGCACAGTGAAGTTCTCAACGCGGGGAACAAGATGCATTTTTTTTTCTTTTTTTGCTCTCCTCCTGGCCTCTCAATATTTTTGTGTATCGATAATTTAATTTTCTGCCCAGAAAATATTATCTTTCTTGTAGTGAGAAAACATTCTCAAATTGACTGATATACATGTACACAGTATTTTCCAAAAATGAATTCCACAAATGCACATAAAATTTTCAAATCTTGGTCAAAAGACCCGCTTCTAAGCCCATTAGAAAGCCAGAGTCTCTCTCTAAATGACTTAATGATGAGTCAAGGCTTCATCTTCTCTCACAAAGCATCTATTGTCACTTTGAGTCATCTTCTACAAAGCCACATAGATGCTTTGTAAAGCTAGAAACTGCCCTGTCACTTCAATGAAGGATCTGGAGACAGAGTTCAGCTTTCTAATGAACCAATAATTGAGTGTTTTCTTGCCAATTGCCAATTTTATAAGCATTTGTAGGTTTCAAATTGTCCTCTCCAATCCAAGGAACCAAATTTCAGCCTCTGTTGTAGGTGTACATCTGATGAATTTGTTAGTACATTCAACAATATGCCGTCTAAAAATACAAAAAAACTAGCCAAATTGAGCGGCAGGCGCCGCACTCATCAGAAGAGTACTGGTGAAGAAGAGCTCATCTTAGATCAAATTTCAAAGAATGCTGGATGCTATGCTAGCTCAAACATTCAATGTAAGAAAGATTTGTTAGGGGTAATTGGCTGGAAGTCAATTCAGCAAAATATATCTTGTAATCTAGTGTTGATTACTTGGTATAGTATGAGAAACACAGTGCTAGCGTAATTATATTACACATTAAGGCAATTAAAAAGAATTCAATGCAATCCAAGGGAAGCCTGTAAGAATTTTGCTGCTGGTAACAAGCAATGGGATGGGAATGAGGCATGATGGGGTGTG